GCCTGACGCATTAGTTTTGACTGCGTAGCCGCGTAGGCACTTGGAGCCTGATGCATTAATTTTGACTGCGTAGCCGTGTAGCCACATAGCCACTTGGTAGTTATACCTTGTTCTATTAAGACACAGGTAGCCTGACGCATTATTTTTGACTGTGTAGCCACGTAGCCACTTTGTAGCTATAAATGCCTTTCTGTGATGGGGTATTCTGCAATCGCTACTCTTCACTTAAAATAATAAAGATAGACTTTTTAATAGAATAATGTCTAATTCATTTGGGGGAGGGGATGGGGTATAATGTCAACCCCCTCTAGTGTAGGGTGGAGTCATATTGAACTTCAATACTCCAGTAATGCTAGGGAATCACTTTATTTTTTTCAGACATTATGATGATTTTTAGACTAATAAACAGACTTCAGATTCCCTCAAATGTACATATATCTAAAGTACTGCCACAAGCCACTGTCCTTGCCCGTACCTATTGTCTAGATAGTAAGGTTAGTGGCACTGTAAATAGAACCAAAACTACCTTAGCTTATCTCCTAAAAGTCAACCTTGAACGTTCATATTAAAAGGTATTTTGTTTCTTGGTTGAAAATCTTCTCCAAAATTAGGGTCAGAAATAGAGATATGGGTATTTTTAACATTGAATTTTTAATCTAAATTAATTGTTTGCTATTTCAGATAAAGGAAGAAGTAAGCAAGCTTTTGGAACTAAAAAAGGAGCTTGGAGATAATGCAAAGCCACAGAAGTTTGTCCTCAAAACTCCCAAGGTAACTATGTATGTTAGTTTCCTTTACATCTTGGTGATGCTTTAGTCAAAGCTATGTAATTTATTGATTTATTCAGGCGGTTATTGTCATTTCATTTTTAGTCATCCATCTGTCCATTTTATTCAACTATCCCTCCATCCTTTTTATCTTCAAGTCTCTCTACAGTATCTGTCCATCTGTTTATCCTTGTATCCATCCATCCATCCACCAATCCATCCATCCATCTATCTATTCCTCAATTCTCAGTCAGTCAGTCAAATTCTCAATCAGTCAGTCAACCAGTCAGTCTTAAACACATTTCTTCAATTAATCAGGGTACCAGAGATTATGTGCCCAAACAGATGGCAGTAAGAGAAAAAGCTTTCAGGACTATTGTTGGTGCATTTGAAAGGCATGGAGCAGAACAAATTGATACTCCTGTTTTTGAATTGAAGGTAAAGTTAACCAGACCTTTTTCTTTTCCTCAACCCAAATCAGTTAATATAAATTATCTTTAGTTTCATTTGAGCTTTGAATAAAATGCTTTACCATTATTGCAAAGTTTGCCAGGCAGAGATTTTCATGGAGAGTGGGAAGGAAAGGAGTGGTTAGGATAAAAACTTACAGTAGTTAACTGAGAGTGACTAATATAGTACACTCCTGTCACCAAAACTCTGAAAGGGGGTTCATATTTGCCATTTTAATGCTAAAGTGATATTGAAAAGAGGGAGAGAGAGAGGAAAGGGTTTTCCCCCTCTTTGAACCACCCCTAGTCAAGGGCCTGTAGTACCTGGCATGAATTGAAATATGYAAAATTAAGAATTGTCATAAAATTACATTTATATATATGTACATAATTAAGGACTGGTCACAAAAATACAGGGAAGGTGGTACACAGTCATAATTTCAAAAATGATATACCCTATTCACCTGGTCTTTTAAAGGGTTATGATACTCTAGCCTTAGGTAGCTTTTGGGTTAGTCTTAAATTAAGACTACTTATGCATGGGCGTGTACATCGTGTACAACAGAAGCATCATGCATTCCCATACTATAGTATAGCTACCTGATATTGTCATGACCCAAGAATAACTGTGGCTGTTCTCGGATTGCTATGGGAGAGACCCCTTCGCCAGGTCAGAGAGCATTTTGCTGGACTGGTTTCAGGGCTCTTACATTGATTTAACAGATCAAAAACAGTTTTCCGTGTTTAATATGTACTCTGATCAAAACACASGGGATGTTGAGAGAACATGAGAGGAGCGGAGTGGTTTCCAGCTTCTCGAGTGTTCTCCCAACATCCCAAGTGTTTTGATCAGAGTATCAAACACAGAAAACTGTTTTTGATTTGTTTTATAAAATAACAAACGTGCCAAAAGATTGAAAAAAAGCAAAGTCTAAGTAAATTCTCCCTACGTGCAGTCTTATTCAAACTGACCAATGAGCGCGCGCGATAGACTAAAAATGATGGTAGCGTGTTTTGATACTCTCATCAAACATGGTTTTCGACCAATCATATCAATTATTTTATAAATTGGAATATAAAATAGACTTAATGCTTTTGTAATTCCATGTTAATACTTTATTAAATGTCACACATGACAAATTTCAGTGTATAGGCATATATAGGCGCCTAAGACCTGATTAGATCATCATCCAGACTATTGGAATCAAACTCCTCGTCAAATCTGAATACGTCTGGTTAGCAGACTGTTTTCTGATGACCCAAACCCAACCTTCAATGGCCCACCCTTGYATTACATCATTAAATAAAATTTTGCTAACCTATTCCCCCATTATTACATATCTCTGACATTAACACGTGTTGATGTATTAATAGGAAACATTGACTGGCAAATATGGTGAAGACTCTAAACTTATTTATGACTTAGCTGATCAAGGAGGAGAACTTTTGGCATTGCGATATGACTTGACTGTATCCACAATCATTGCTTGGGGAGGGGAGAGGGAGGGGAGGGGAAGGGGTGAAGGGGTAGGGGACAAACATATATCTCCTATTCCTATCCTATAATACTTACTTATTCCTGTAGGTACTAGATACCAAGGTACATCTATTTATCCCCTATCCCTAAAATGTTTTTGCGTCAGGGTTATCCCGTATAGCTAAAACGGTTATCCTTTATTGCTAAAACCGCTAACAGGGCTTGCATGGTTAGCAATGTGCAATAAAGAGTGAAATTTTATTCTTGTATTCTTGTGCAGATTGTACACTGTACTATCTCATCCATATTATCCTTGACTTGGATGTATTAGGTACCATTTGCAAGATATGTTGCAATGAATAAAATAGACAAAATAAAAAGGTATCACATAGCAAAGGTATATAGGAGAGATAATCCAGCCATGACACGGGGGAGATATAGAGAGTTTTACCAATGCGTAAGTATGGTTGTTAGAAACTATAATTTCAGAAGCATATTTTTAAGTTTTTCTTCCATCTATCAAAATTAAAATAAATGGCTGGATGATTTCAAAATGTTAGACAGGTCAAAGTAAAAACACTTATCTCAAGATGGACGTTCTAGCTATTTACTACTCTTGTCAGTTGGGTGGCACGAACATTTTGTCACAAAGTCTTGTGTTGAAATGTGTGTTGTTAGGTGCAACATCACTGATAATTATAATACCCATACTGTATTGTTGGTGAAGTATGGCTACATTTAATGTATTGGCATGCTTCTGTGCACAGGCTTTTTGATGCCAAACAAGCTTTTACACACCTTATTTAGTAAAACTAGCTACATGTACAGATGTAGTTTCACATTGAAATATGTCTGTTTAATTACACAAGCCCTAGCATAAAGGTATGCCAATGTTGTTCAAATACTTTTGAAGTTGCCCCTGAAAACATGCCCATTTCACTGACAAAAGTTTGTGGAGAAACTTCTGTCGCACCAAAGTCAAGTGAAAAGCATAGTATAGAACTCAAAGTTATTAGTATAAATTGTGATTCTTGTGAACTGCTCAGATGTGGCAAGTCACAGTCTTTGAGTAGGCATGTATGTTCTGTCAATCTACATTATACCATGCATTTTTCATATAAGAACAATATATGAAATTTGAATCAGTGTGTGACATTCAAATTCCATTAATTTATTTTCGTTTATGACTTTAAAACTTTATTTTCTCCATAGGATATAGATATAGCAGGGCAGTATGATCCTATGATTCCTGATGCAGAATGTGTGAAAATTGTCCATGAAATCCTAACAGGATTAGGACTAGGAGATTTCAAAATCAAGGTACAGTATATCACAAAAGGCCAACAAATTAGTGTTAGACAAGAGTATGACATGACTGTATAACAACAGAACAGAAGTATGAGCGAGAATAATTGAAAGTTAGAACAGGTCAACAGCTGATCCAGGTATGATTCCAAGAGGGGTCACTATTATGTTGAACGCCTGTCAGTAGCAACCTCTTTAGAATTTTACATCAAACTTCTTACTTCTAAAACTCCAAGGAGGTGGTGGTTATGCGCCCAATTTGTCTTCTCCAGTACCTTCCCTTTTTTCTAGTGAGTTTGCTGCATGTACCTCCAGGAAAATAGTATTTTTTGAAGTCCATGTATTATTATCCATTATTATTTATCCATTATTAATTAATTTATTAATATATATTTTCTTTATTGTCTTTTACATATTGTTTTTTGATTTCACTTGTGTATTTCTTAATGCAGTTCCCTATTGTAAATCACTAATGTGACATAGGTTTACTGTCRAAAGAAAGAAATATTATTATTATTATTAYTGATTTCTTGAATATGACCTCTTAGGTCAATCACAGAAAGTTCTTGGATGGCATGTTTGCAGYGTGCGGTGTTCCTAAAGATAAATTTAGAGCAATATGTTCTGCTGTTGACAAGCTAGACAAGGTAAGACTCTTCCACAAACATGTTCAGATTTTTTGTTATTATTTTTTTGGTTAAAAAAAAGTTAATAATTGGAATTTGAATATTTATAAGGCCTAATATTTTTTATTTGTCTACCAGACTCCTTGGGAGGAGGTTAGAAAAGAGATGGTTGAAGAAAAAGAGTTAAATCCTGCTGCAGCTGATTGTATTGGTGAATATGTCAAGCTTAGTGGTGGAATGGGCTTGGTGACAAAACTGACAGAGAATCAAGATTTGATGAAGAATAAGAATGTTAAAGAAGCTCTTGATGATATGAAGTTACTACTGGCATACATGGAACTGTTTGACATTTCTGATAAGGTAGACTAAGATGTTTTTAATATAAACAGTAATAAAAAATTTTTTYTTTCGTTTTCTTCTTGAGCTTTGGTTGTTTTTGCTATCTATCAAATGTACCAAGTCACAGGGAAGGGAGCCATGTTGGCAAATGCAAAGTTACTGCACAAGAGCAGACTATTATTTGCAGCAAAAGGACTTTGCATTGTAATGTGCATGAGCAGAATATTATTTATAGGTAGTTATTTACAGTTGTCTCTGTCAATCAAAAGGACAGGAGAAAAGTCATTTGAAAGATAAAATGAATTCCTATTGATGGATCTTATTGTTTTCCTATCTTAGATCACATGTGGCATTCCCTTGAGTATTATTTCTTTGTTTACCTGTAAAGCTTGATAAGATATATTTATTTGAGTGTAACTCATACAAAGATTCTTATTTTCAAGGAATGATAAGTAGCCTAAAATAGGAAAACTTTGCACCTTAAATAAAAAAGGTCTTAATTTCTCTTCCAGACTGCCGTCAACTTATCTTCTTATCCACTGTTTGCAGGTTGTGTTTGATCTTAGTCTAGCACGTGGTTTAGACTATTACACAGGTGTAATCTATGAAGCAATTCTGACAGGAGATCAACCTGATCTGGGCAAGGCTGACAAGGGTAATGATCTTTATGCTATCAACCATGTTCAAACAGCTGCATTTGATTATATGATGCACTCATGATCAATTGCCAAATCATTGTCAGCTTCAAAACATAAAACATAGAAGCTGAGACCAAAAGATATTCTGGGAAATGACRTGTAATTAACCTCTGAGGTATTTATTCGAAATACACAGTCGATATGGAATATGTTGAAAGCCTCCATGCTTTCTGTCAGTACAACGATTTATAAACATTCCTTTACTTGTATCACTAGATACATGTAATAAACATACTTCCCATGTAGCATTTTAGTCTCAGCTTGTATGTTCAGTGTTTCGAACCCAAAAATTATTTTGCAATTTAGTATATAATGGAATAGTATTAGATTCCTTATCGTTATATGAAGCTAAATGTAATTTAGGCAAAGTTTTTTGGGGCTGTTTGGGAGTGGGGGGGGGGGGGGGGGGGGGGGGGGGGGACTGAGGGGTCTGAGGAGCTTGCAATGTGCTTGCTGCTTGAGTTATTCCCTTTCTTTGGTGATCATCATGGATAAAACACAAACTAGCTCTTGAATTATTGTAGGCACTTGATCTAGTGAGGTCAGTCCTTCTTTGTTCCCAAATCTCACCTATTGGTGAGGAGTTTTAACTACATGTAACACTGTTATTCTTATACTTGATTCACAGGAGAGCCAGTGGGTGTGGGTTCTGTAGCAGGTGGTGGTCGCTATGACAACCTTGTAGGCATGTTTGATCCAAAAGCAAAAAAGGTACATTGGTGTCAAAATTTGCTTCTGAACATCATTTATAATCAATACACCCCTTGGATGTGACGTCAAAGCAGCTCAAATTGGAGGACAAATCAAAATAATTTCAATCTTCTGAAAATTAGAAACCTATTGTTATGTCCTCCAAATTGAGCTGCATTCTGATGTGCTGCAAAGAGTCTATTGTTAGTTTAGCATTTTATTTTTGTCTCAATCAATGCATAGCAATAAAAACAGTGATAATGCTTCAGCATAATTTGGGTTTGTTTTCACAGGTTCCTTGTGTTGGTGTCAGTATTGGTATTGAGAGGATATTTTCCATTTTAGAGGCAAAGGCTGAGGTAAGAGCTATTCTACTGACAATAGACCATTTTTGAGTTCCAAATAGACCTTATTCGTGGGGTGACAATGTTTTCCCAATTGAACATGACAAACCTCTGGGGGAATGAAGAGCTAGTGTTTTGAAACTCTTCGGGATATCATCGTTATTCCTTTCCTATCCTTTGGGATAYTCATGAATTTTTTGAAGATTAAAAACGAAGAAAATGAATCCCCTGGAGGTTCGTCAAGCTGAATTGGGAAAATATTGTCACACCACGAATAAGCTTACAGCTGTGTTCCTTGATTACAGACTCATTTACTCTGGATTAGCCTCATATCAGTGTCTAAATATTCACAAATACCAACAGTAAAGTAAAGAATGCACAACTTCAACATTACGAAGACTTTAAAATTCCAAGGAACTTCACTGGAACACTTGAGTATTCTGTACAAAGTCAAGGCTAAGCCTGAGGAACAGAAAACTTAAAACTGGAACATTATTTCATTACTTTATTTACTAGTATCGAATTCATCCTAATTTATTTTGCAAATATTGCTTTGAATGCAGCAATATTTGAAATATATGAATCAATGTGAGTAATAGTTACAGTAGTACAATGGGATAGAAGGTTTAGAACAGATTTGTATTTGCACTTTATTTAACAATTATTCGCTGAAGGCAAAGTGATTATCGGGGAATATTTACYGAGACGTGAGTCTTAAAGCAGAGAGGTAAATATTCCCCAATAATCACTGAGCCTGAGGCAAATAATTGTTTTAGTATAAATACACAGGTGATTCTTTCAAAAAAAGAAAAAAAAAGAAGATAAAAGGCATTTTTTCAGGTAACAGCAACAAAGCGACTGGCCACCATTTTGGATTTTCGCTCAAGATGATTATCGTGTGATAGTGTGAGTTTCTTGACCAATCAGCGTGCGAGATTTTCTATAATCACCTGCATATTTTTACTAAAAATAATAATAATAATAATAATAATAATTATTATTATTATTATTAAGGTTTATTCACTAAGGTAATATTTCAAAAGGGCTGGATCACTATATATTTGGTAAATGATTTTATTAAAATTAACAGGCATCAAGAAATAAGATTCGAACAACCAAAGTCCAAGTCCTGGTAGCTTCTGGACAAAAGAATATGCTGGAGCACAGACTAAAGTTGGTTAATGAACTGTGGCAAGGTGGAATAAAGGTATGTGGGATCGCATTGATCTGTCACATTAATAACAGTTAGATAAGACTTCATTTGTCAGGCTGATAAACACTACGGATTTCATTGAAGTGTGGCACGCATTAAAAAATTCGTCTGCAAATTTGCCTACGAGACGCTGTGACTCCGCCCACTTGGAGGTGYGATTTTGTCTGCATTCCTTTCTCGTGAAATGCACCATTGGACATCAGCGAACTTGGTCATGTTTACAGTAGGGGAAGAGCATAAGTAGTGATTTGAGATCTCTTGTCATAGATGAGATTGTTGAAAGTGGTGGGGATATCATAACATGATTCTTTCCTGGAAAATTTGCAGAAATTGCTTGAAAACTTCCCCCGCCTCCATACTCCACTTTGAACTCGAACCCTCTACTCGCCACTATAATTTCGAATTGAACATTGCACGGGAATAGCCGAGAAAGGAATGCAGACAAAATCACACCTCCAAGTGGGCGGAGTCACAGCGTCTCAAATTTTTTATTGCGTGCCACACTTCAATGAAATCCGTAGTATGCCACACTACGGAATTGCTGACCAAACCAATCACATCATGCAATATCATTTTTTATCCAATCCATTGTTCAGACCAGGCAGGACTTGGTTTAAGCATGGCATATATGCACTTAGTTAGCCATGCCCTGACTTTGATCAGCCCAAAGGTCATTTCAAGCTATCAATAAAATTTGAAGATTTTTTTTAAAGGTACTGTGAGTTTTCGCAGTTATAATAAATTTGATTGATRTGATACCAATTTTCTTCAAGATTGATTAATTCTAATAGCTAACTGATTGATAAAATCATGCCATTTACAAGTAATTAAGACTCTTTCAGATTAATCCTTTGCATTATTTAAACATTTTAGGCAGAAGTAATCTACAAGAAAAATCCAAAGATGTTAACTCAGTTCCAGTACTGTGAAGATAATGGTATCCCATTCTCTGTGGTGATAGGAGAAAAGGAACTGGAAGAAGGTGTGGTTACACTCCGTGACACACAAACAAGAGAAGAGGTATACAAATACTAAATAAGGGCAGATCCAGTGGGAGGGCAGTAGGGGGGAGGGAAAATGAGCTGGAGGAAGGTGTAATTACACTCTGTGTTACACAAACAAGAGAAGAGGTATACAAATACTAAACAAGGGCAGATCTAGTGGGAGAGTCGGGAGGGGGGGAGTAAAGGAGCTGCAGGAAGGTGTGGTTACACTCCATGACACACGAACAAGAGAAGAGGTATACAAATACTAAACAAGGGCAGATCCAGTGGTAGGGTGGGGGGGGGAGGGGGTAGGGAATTTCTGTGCCCCCTGTTATATCCGAAGGTCAAGATTGATTTATCCTAAAATTTAGTTTTGCCACAGGTATGAATTAAATCTGAAGCATGGCCGATCAGTCRCCGGTCATGATCACAGGCCAAATTAGTTTTAGCTTAGTGATACCTTTTTTCTGACTTAACGTTACTGGTCAACATTTCTTACTTTTAGGTGTCTGTCAAGAGAGAAGAACTATGTAATGAAATCAAGAGAAAATGTGAAGCAATTGAAGAATTATGATGTGGATTTTATTTAGGAAGCATCATTCTTCATGAAATTTGATTGTCAGGAATATGTAAAATGCTAAAATTGTTGACAGTGGTTTGCTTTGTCACATAAGAAGATGAAATACCTTACAACTAATTGAGAATAGATTACRGGCCTGTTCCCAGGACTTTGGAAAGGGGAGTTCATATATTTCGTAGTTCCAAAAGTTATCCATCCCCCCCTCCCCCCACCCAATGGAGGAAAGACCCCCTTCCCCTACCGTCGAAATTCCAATTTTTTTCCATACAAACTTTGTAATTTTGTTCTTTTTCTGACCCCCCTGCCCCTCAGAAATTACAAATTCCTCTGTGTGTGGGGGGGGGGACGGGACTAATTTGCAATTTTATGGTTGAAAACATTGAATAGAAAGCATTGAGAGGTTAGCACTCTCACCACTATGCCTCTCACCTGTGCTTCCCTAACAGCTTTGAAGTGCCACTCCAGGTGAGGGACCAGAACTTTATACTGGCAGAAATGAGTGCCATTCAGGGTGAAACCTCAAGATTTTTGTTAGAAATGCAAATATTATTTTGGCTTGAACCCTTTAAGCCAGAGCCAATGCAACCTAAAGCGGTAAGAACAAAAGTTGTTGTAAAAGTAAGACAAGGATTCTTAGAATAAAAAAATTATATATTGTGGAAACTGTATATAATTGATGATATTTATTCATTTATCTCACGATCCAGGGGCCCTTTTTATGTGGTTAAACAGTTTTTCTTATTAGCGTGAAACACTTCGTAAGAAACTGCACRAATTAGTAAGTTAAGTAGACCGTATACTTTCAAAACGTTCCACTGATTTGTACAATTTTGTTAGTTAACTTTCTCTTAGATATATAGTAAGCACTCTACTGTCCTACATTGGGCTTCATTGTATCTTTTTATTTTTATTTCACTTCGTTGGGCTATGCGCCCGATCTGCAGTATTTACACATGAAAGTGGAACCTAGGTTCAACACTATATGATATATAGCCCAATAAGACGATCGAATAGCCCAATAAGATGATATATAGCCCAATAAGACGATCGAATAGCCCAATAAGATGATATATAGCC